TCAAACAGTTATGTTTTCATTGGTGAAAATGATGATGGAACTGTAACTGAATTTGAATCTAGGAATATCACATTTTTAGAAAATGAGTTTCCTAGCAAGGGAGAAATTGATCAAACAATATCTCTTTATGAGACACAAGAGCAACATAATATAGAACTTATAGAAAGGCCTGAATCATTGTAAAATGCTAATTTAAGTGGGAGCTCTAAAAGGTCTTTCAGAAGACCTAAAAAGAATCAAAATCCACAAGAGATCCCACTTTAAAAAAGTAATAAAGAAAGTATGACAAAAAGACGCTTCCAAATTGAGGGTGAAGCATTGATAGTAACTCCTCTAGATGATGATGAGCCACATTCTGTAAATGAAGCTTTATCAGGACCTGCTAAGGATAAGTGGAAGAAAGTAATGCATGAAGAAATGGATTCCATGAGGACTAACAAAGTATGGAAATTAGTTGATTTACCACGTGGCCGAAAGGCTATTAGGAACAAGTGGGTTCTCAAAATCAAAAGAAAAGTGGATGGATCAATTGATAAATACAAGACTCACTTAGTAGCAAAAGGGTGTGCAAAACAAGAGGGAATAGATTATGAGGATGCATTTTCTCCTATTGTACGCTTCAATTCTATTAGACTGATTCTGGCAATATAAATAGTCTGGACTTAGAGTTGCACCAGATGGATGTAAACAATGCTTTTCTTAACAGTGATCTGGATGAAGAAATTTATATACAATAGCCATTAGGTTTTATTGAAAAAGGAAAAGAAAATAAAGTATGCAAATTAAATAGATCAATTTATGGACTAAAACAATCATCCAAACAGTGGTATTTGAGGTTTCACAGAGCAATGACCTCATATGACTTCCAAATGATTAAGGAAGACCATTATGTTTACATCAAGAGGTTCAATGGGAACTTTGTAATATTATCTCTTTATGTGAATGATATTTTATTAGCTGAAAATAGTCTGGATTCGATAATCGCTATTAAAGAATGGCTTTTGTCGAATTTTGAAATGAAAAACATGGGTGAAGCAGAATATATTCTTGGAGTTAAAATCTAAAGAAATCACTCTAAGAAGCTTCTTTATCTATCACAAGAAACTTATATAAAGAAAATTCTTGAGCATTTTAATATGAAAGATTGTAAACCCATGGATACCCCAGTAGCTTCAGGTGTGAAGCTTAGTCCTGATATGGGTCCTAAAATTGAGATAGCCAAAAGGAAAATAGAAAGAGTTCCATATGCTAGTGCAGTTGGAAGTTTGATGTATGTAATGATGTGTACAAGACCAGATATCTGTTATGCCGTAGAACTTGTGAGTTGCTACCAATCCAACCTCGGAGAAGGACATTAGAAAGCTATAAAGAGGATCTTAAGATACTTAAAGGGTACTGTTGACTATGTATTGTGTTATCAAGAGAGTGATCTATGCCTAACAGGATACTCCGATGCAGATTTAGGTGGAGATGAAGATGAACGAAGATCAACTTTAGGCTATACTTTCTTGCTAAACAATGGGGTCATTTGTTGGAGTAGCAAGAAAGAGACATGCATTGCCCTACACTCTATGGAAGCTGAGTTTATAGTATATACTGTAGCAGTGCAAGAGGCTATATGGCTTAAGAGATTTATAGAACATCTTGGGTTTAGAAATGAAAGTACAAATCTAGTGTTAATTCATTGTGACAATACTGCAGCCATAGCCTATACCAAAGATCCTAAATATCATAACAAAACCAAACACATAGACATTAAGTACAATTTTATAAGGGATTATATAGTGCAAAAGGTTATCACTGTTCAATACATTTCCACAAAATGTATGATAGCAGATCCCCTAACAAAACCCATAGCTAAGGAGATATTTGAGAAACATGTAAGGGTTCTTGGCATGGTTAGATTGACTTGATGTAATATATTGGTTATATTAATGATTTTTTTCTTCATTACTTTCATATGTGTACAATTGAGAACATACAATGTCTAGTATGTCGTACAGGTTGATAAGGTTGACTCTCTCACATGAGCAACTACCTTTGATATTGAAATCAAAGATGAGACATTAGTGTTCACCAACAAGGCAACAAAAATGTTGATTTAGTAGAAAAGAAACACAAATCATATGTCACCTCGATTAAAGAGCAAGTCGAGATGAGATCCGTAAGCATACTTGGATCGAATCATGGATCCCCATATCCATGATACCTGTAGCCAAACGATAAATTCTTCTAAATTAACGTCATGTGAGATCAATAGAAAAGAAGAATTTACATGTAGATACAATGAATATCTAAACTTATGTTTGTATGGTGCTAATAATAAATGAAAATGACATACACTTTTACAAGCAAAAGTAACACCATGACATGTGTTTGATACCACATGTGCTTAAGAATCGCAATGGGAAGCAAGTGAATAAATTCCTACTTCATTGCTATGTGAGTCCCAAAAAGGAAAAAAATCCTTTCATTGATGTCCTTTAACTTTGACATTATCATGGAGATATGTTACAGTGTCTGCTACTTTAACATGCACCCTATGGTCATAATTGATGTGACCTAAAGGTTTCATGTTAGGAAAGCGACTGTTTCCTATCAAAGTGGTATATGGGCAAAAGGAAGATTACCTTAAATATACACATCTATGCTCGTATTCAAGACATGTCTCTTATGAAATAATTTGTGAATTCATAAGTGTGGATACTATGCATATAAGAAAAACTATCTGAGTCTTGGATTGACTTGAGAGGGATCAGATTAGTCATGATGAGAAAAAGTGTATATTGGTAAATCTAGGACATTAAGGCACGAATTTAATCTAGAATAAAATCAACTTTAAAGTTATTTGTGCTAGTTCTTAATAGGATTCCCTAGTACAAATAACTAAAATGAAGACGTCAAGCCTATGCGGTCACGACAAAGCACCTAGTATGAAGAGAGGAAAGAGAAAGAGATAGAACTGACATTATCTTCTCCATCAAGTATGAGTAGGAGATGTTGGGTTATCTACCCTTGGTGGATCAGGCCCATATAAATGCCCAAATTGGGGAATGGGGCTCTTAAGAGAATTATAAAAAATGTTTGGGTTCAAAATGCAATTTACTCAGGGCCTTAAAACGTAATATTCTCCAACCTTTGAATTTGAAATATGGGCGGTTGGAGAAACTGCCGCATGTTCTCATAAGAGGTGGTTATGGGTGCGGTTTTTGTCGGTTCAGATTTTGAATTCTTTGCATGAAGAGAAAAACAAAACGCTCTCGATTTTTGATTGGTCTTATTTTTCTCCTTACAAGGTTTTTCTCTCAGAGAGTGCATTTGTTGTGTACCTGAATAAAGTTCAACTGGTGTAACTTTGTTCCCGCATACATACGTGTGAATTAATGACTTAAGGTATGATTTTCCTCCTCTATTTCTTTTAGATATTCTTATTTAAAAATCAAAATACCTATAACTATATAGTAAAATGTTGAAATATATAGGAAGAATGTTAGAGAGGTCTCAAAATGATTAAGTAATTGAAATTAGGTCCCAGGTGCCACATTTTATGAATTTACGACTCAATTTTTTAATTTTACAACTATATTGTGATGAATTTACAACTTGTATTCCAAATCTTAACAGGAAAAATAATTTTTTATTTTTCAATCACGTTAAAATTTGAAAAATAAGTTGCAAATTCATCATAATGCAGTTATAAAATTGAGAAATTGAATTGCAAATTTTTGGCGTTTGGCACTTGAAATCTAACTTGAATCTAGACCTCTTTGTCATTCTTCCAAATATATATATATATATATAATAGAAATATTCTCATGCTGGTATCCTAAAATTTTGGAAATTGACACATCCACCGTGTCATGTTGCATGTGTATCCCGTACCGTATCAGTACTTCTTCTTAGACAACAGCGAACTGAGAATCATCGAGATGTGCAATTCTCTGCATAAGAGATCTGTTTATTATATTCATTACCTTGAATTTCTACTATAGCCACAACATTTATCCCAACATAGGAATAGAATATTAAATATTAACATTATCTAGCTACATATAACAAGACTGCTCCATTCTGCCTTCTTCTCCCATTTAGTTTGATCAAAACTACGATACATGCCATCTTCTGTTACCGACCAAAATACGCGCTGTTCCTTATAATCCACACTCGGATCAAACACCACAATGTTGGCACATAGTTTTTTCTCCCATATCAGCGTACATGCCTGTTTTTCATTCCCTTCCGAGATGAAGAGCGAAGTTCCCTTTACAATCTCAGTCTCGGATTCTTGGAACGTTCTAACAACCTCGACGTGTCCGCGTGCGGCAAATTGTTGTAGATGTCGACTATCGACAAGCTGATCGCTTTTGTTGTTGAGGTTGTCGCTGTAAGAACAAGGACCAGGAAAAGAAGGGCTGATGAGCGCATGATTGATACTTTATTTTCAGCTTGAGATGATGATTGATGAGAGTCTCTTTTGATTTTCATAATTCTTTGTTCTTGTTTCACTATATATATATATATATATATTCTGGGAGATATTGATACTGAATTGCTTATTATGTAATACTCCTTCGTCTCAAATTATACGACACTTTTAGAAAAGATTCAGCATTCCAAAATATAAGACACTTTGACAAAAATAAAGTTTCATTAATGATACTTTTTTAATATTACCCTTACCACATATTCTCTTTTTTCAATATTCCTTTATTAATGGAATATTAAATGAAGGATATTTTTTAAAGTTTATATTTTTGTTTTGAAAAAGTAAGGTTGTAAAGTATATTTAATAAGCTTTATTGATATGTGAAATTCTATCTAAAAGTGTCTTATAATCTGAGATGGAGGGAGTAATAGTCAGATCTTAGTAAAGAAGGAAAGGAATTAATAATAATGGTTTAAAATTGATTTAACTGATTCCCTATTAATGTTACGTTAATGTAGATTTGTTTGTTGCTAATTAGAATTTCGTTGTTGTTTTTTTTTTTTCCTTTTTGTGAAGTTCTTAGTGAAAAAAGCACCTCCGAAAATAGGCCAATGACGCTTTACGTGGCGAGCACACGGTATCTTTTAGTAAAAAGCGAAAAAATAGTTCGCTTTGTGCTCATCCCACGGCTCTGTAATTAGCATTTTGTAGTTAATGGAAGGGTTTGAGAGAGAATGTATTTAGATGATTGCATTAATTACTTTCCTAATGATTTGCCTCCTGGAAATGCATTAAAAACTTATTTGAATATTTCTTAGAGAACACATTTCATGCTCATTAGTGCTCATCATCAATCAAGATTGTATTGATTAATTTTATATTTATATTATAAATAAATTTTTATTATAATAGACATAGAATCTAAAATAAAGAAAATTTCATAATTGTAGCTGTTTTAAAAAATAAATTTATCATCTAATAAATTTCCATTTAAAAAGCTTAAATATAGACCATCTAAATCAAATTTAGACTAATCTCATCACAATGATAAACACGTGTTTCTAATCATTAAATGTAGACTTTTTTTCAAACACCACCTCTTTGGCCTACCTTCATCCAACCCATAATTGTTTTTGAACCTTTAGTTGGACTGTATGTTATTTGTATTAAAAGGTAAAATAATCCATAAGAAAATTCTCTTATCATCTATTTCCATTTCTTCTCCATATATCTTATTTCCTAGCTAGTTGGTCAATTTCATAACAGTATGACTTCAATATTTCTTAATTATAATGGACAGTATCAGGAATTCGTTAATTTTCAAGTCAGATTAAAATTTATTTATAGTTTCTAATAATAATAAATTGATCAATTTAAATGTATTGAGTTTAGAAAATCATTATCGGAATTATTTGTGGCCATAATTATTACTAATTCAAGATTAATATGATGCATGGCTTCATTAAGGTGGGTTTTTTTTAATAAATTAATATTTGTAGGCAGCTCTTGAGGACTAAATTACATGATTAGCTGATTATTCGGAATGAAATTATTTTGTGTAAGTAATTAATTCTTTTATCACAAAAGTGCAATTTATTCAAATATTAAATTTAAACTTGTTAGCAATTAAAAACTGGGAACCGGATCGGATCTTCTCGACGTCCAAATTCTCAAGGTCCTCCAGCCGCCACACCACTAGGAATATTGTCCATTCAAATAATCAAAAAGTCCGCAATGCGCCACATCCAAGGCTTTTAATGTTCAATTAAAACTTTTTTCTCCTATGTTGTTAAAAAAAATAATATAACTTTCAGTTCTTTAAATTTATTTGAGTTATCAATTTTATTTTTTAAGTTTAATTCTTATTAATTTAGTTCCATAAGCTTTACTTTAGTTATTGATTTGGTTATTATTATTTAAAAAAGATATAATATTATTATAATTTACTAACATAAATTAAAAATATTGATAGCATCCATGTAGATTAATTAAAAAAAGTATAATTATTTAGGTAGGAAAAAACATACTCTAAAATTATTAAAAACAACATAATAAAATACAATATAAGAGATTATATTGATAAAAATTAAAATAATTTGATAGTTAATTTGTTTTCATTTAATTACATATACATGCAAATCATTAATATACTTTACAAATTAAATTATTTTGAGCATCTATTTGTATTTTAAAACTTAAAAGATTCACACATGATAATTTAAGAAAATATAAGCTATCAAATTAATAAAAACTAAACTTAATGGACCAAATCTATTGTTGAACCTTGATTTTGATGACTACAAAATAGAAAAAAAATTTATTTTTACAAAAATTTTAATTTGTGCTTAACGGCTATTAAGGGTAATTGGTCTGTATGCTTAAGCTTTGTCATCTTACCTAAAGCTTTAAGTGTCTTTAAATTTATTATTGGGATAAATATTTGATTTATCTCAAATTCTTTCTTGAATTAATTTTGAGCTTTGAAAAGGTTTTAGTTTGAGTTTGGTTATGTTATTAAATCTTGGAGTTTATGCTTTAAAGTAAGAGTTTTTGAAATACTTGGTTTTAACCTTCAGTCAATGTTTTCTGTATATTTTTTAATATACAATTCCATTTAATGTAAAACTTATTTCATTTCAAATTAGACTTGTAAAGATTTCCAAAGAACTATATTTCACTCAAAATAGATTCTATACGAAATTGTTATGATTTTTCAAAGTTGGCTCTTGAAGCTTTTAGATCTACTAATATATGTTCTTGACCTTTGCTCTCAATTTATATTATATCTAGTAAATAACTTTGAATGTTTTACTGGGTCTTATTTCATTAAAAACTAGACTTCCAGAGCTTTTCAGCCATAGGTCGTTTGCCTAATTTGGATATAAATTAAAAGAGTTATGGTTTCTAGAAGTTGACCCATGTTTTCTGCTCTTCATACCGGTAGAAATCCTTTATACTTGTATATTATCTTCATGTACATGTTTATACTAGTAGGAACCTCTTTATACTCAACACTAATCACTAATAATAACTTAGGTTGCTTAGTGGAATCCATTGCCATAGACAACACTAGCAATAAGACTATCTTTCTAGCACAATCAAGTGTAGTATTGTTCACTGTTAGCTAATTCATGCCAATAATCATATCTATTTCTTTCAAAGGAATACAGATTAATGAGATAGATCTTGAAAATTCTATCCTCAATTTTAATCTTCACACCCTGATAAGCTCTGCTCATAGTACTAGATGATCTATAAGGTATTGTCATTCTAATGAGCACATGTAACTCTTACAATGACAGTTTCAGTCTATTCACACATTCCTCGCACATAAAAAAATGTGTGGCACCAAAATCAAATAGTGCCTCAACTTGGCGACCACAAATAGAAATCATACCTCTGATCAAGTTCAGAGATGCTCTGGCCTCTTCTTACATAACTACAAACACTCGGCCAGGAATAGTGGATCTTTGCTCAGTTCCCTCAACTCTACCCTCTAAGCATTGCCTTATTATATGTCCCGACTTGCCACACCTGAAGCAAGCCTAACATCTTCTCGGATGAGATTGGCCATAAATGTTACATTGAGGTGTCCTTCCAGTACTCAGGGTCAGTGCTAGAACATTAGATAGTTGCCTCGAAGACTATGGAGGCCCAATTCTCATACCTTCACTTCACTACATTGACCCCCTTTGAAATGATCGAGACTGTGTTCCTCTACTAAAACCTCTCCTTCTTGAAGAACTAGAATTGCCAGCACTATAATCAAGCCTCTTCGAGACTCCACCTATTAGACCTAAAGGGGATGAGAATCTCCCCATACTGTCTCGCCTTTTCTCAACATTTGCCTCTCTACCTTGCTTAACTACTACTCTCAGCTTATAGCACATCTCTTCATATGTCATCACATCAAATAAGGTAATCTGCTATCGGTACTTAAGTCTTATCTTTTCTAACAACTGCTCAGCTTTCTACTTAGTATCATTACTATGCTGGAGGTATGTGGAATAACTTTATAAGTTATTAAACCTTCTGATAAACTCTTCTTTATCCAGATCCCCCTGCCTAAAAGCATAGAACTCATCTTTTTCAATTCTGAATGAGACTGGGAAGTACAGATAGAAGAAAACCTTCTTGAATGCATCCCAACTTAAATACATCTACTCAGCTTCACAGACTCCTATCACCTCTTGGTAGTACTAACTAGCTACACTGTAGCTAGAATAACTTTCTACTCAGAGGTACAAATCACCACCTCAAAGATGGTTTCCAGTCACTCTACCTATAACTCTACTTCCCCCTCTCTCATATATTCCTATCAAAAGTAGGTAGGTTGAATCAAATAAAATTTTTCCAAGCATGATCAGTTGATGGATTAGTGCCAGGAACTTCTTACTTGCTACCCGAACCCTGAGATGGTCTAGGTCTGCTTTGTGCTTCCTCATGCATCGGAATGTCTCAAGCCTTAACTCTTTCTTCTTGCTCTCTATATCTCAAGATCGTATCATGATCCCTAACTATTTGCCTTATATCTATTACCATATCTTTGAGCTCCTCAAGTAGCTCCTCATACCTATCTTTTCACGGCTGAACCCGTTGAACTTTCAGTTCCTACTCCTCCTCAAAAACCCCTTTAGATATAGCACTTCTAGTATGAGTGCCTCTCCTCATAATGCACAATATTTTCTCCCCTCCTAAGGACAAAAATAAGAAACACGAAGGACATTCGGGAAAGAGTTGTGTAATGGACAATAAGTTGCCATATACCATCTAGAATGAATGCATTAGAGAATCACCACAATCAAGTCTTGAAACTCGAGAGATTGATACCAAAATTGCAACCCTCCTTCCATATTTGCTTGATATAAGAGAAGATTAACTAAATCACCACATTAATCACAACAACTAGTAATCAAAAAGTTTGTTTGAAAAGCTTGGGCCCAAGACTCATTTTGCAAAATTATCAAAATCATAATACAATTGAATAATGCACAGTGGACACAAGCTATAAGCATTCATAAAAAAATTGCATGCTTTTAAAATAAAGAAACAAGGTTTGACTTTAGGCCATACACTGTGGCAGACAATACATGTGCTGCGGCATGTGGCATAAGACCATAAGCCTAGATCTTCACTGTGTCATATGCCACAGTGAACAAGTCAGAATTTTCTGTTGTCATTTGGAAGCAAAATAATGAACTTCCAATGTGCGTCATTTTCATATACGATGTCAAATCAAATGATTCAAGTGCCCATATAAAGCTTAACTCATAAGCTATCCAATGATATAGGTTTAGAAACAATCTAATGATCCGATCAAAATTTAGACACCAAAGTGCAAAAAGTTACTTTTTTAAAAAATTTCACACACCAAGCTCTCAAATCAATCCCATTATCTTATTAGACCATACAAGGCCTTAAACTAAGTTCAAAAGGACCTAACACACTTGATTGATCATAATATATCACATACATACACATTTACTAAAATTTGTCCCCTCGACGGCCAATTTTCATATTTTTCAACTTTTTTCACAATTTCACATTTTGGCCCACTTGGCTTTTCTCACCACAAATCCACTACTCAAACATTCATAACATATTCACAACTCAATCTTAGCCCTAATTACTCAATTCATCACATAACTCCACACATGGACTAAGATTCACTAAAATCTACTATGATTTCAA